CCCGTGATCACCCACAACCCAGCTGCCACATCGCGAACAACGGCCGATTCATTGTTTCCGACACAACATGATGACGGACAACCAATGTAATGACGAAGAACACCACAACGGCTCGACGACGACATGAGACAGTGTCAATGATGACGCGATAACAACACAGGCGGGACGACGACGACGACTGCGGTATGACGCCCACAGTACAGTGACAACGCAAAACAACAACAACGTGACTACCACGCATGACCACATTGACGCGACCACAATGCATGACGACTAATAGCGAGGATGGTGGATGCGGGATGGCACCGAACGCTAGGCGCGCTGAATTGCTACAGTGCATATTTCTTTTTTGTGAGGTTGTTGAGACTCGGTTTATGTGTTTTTCTGCAAATGTATATTATCGGATCTTTCATTACATTCTTTTTACTGTGTTGGCTTCCCTGTATGTCGTGTGGTGGAGTAGCTAGCTTTTTCCCAAGTTTTTTTTCAAGTTGTTTACATCTGTGTACCAATGGCGTCTAAGGCCCCAAAGTCATCCAAAAATGGTTTGTCGCATCCAACTATTTCGGTCAGATTTGACAGAGGGAAACTATCTGAAGTGGTCTGAACATTATCACAGATATATTCGGTGAAGTTTTAAAGGTTGTTTCTAGGAGGAACAAAGCTGTAGGACATATATATCTCCTCAGAAGTAAAACTATGCATTGTTGACAATTGTGTACCAAAGGCATCAAAAGGCCGAAGGTCATCCGAAATGGATTTGTCGCATCCAGCCTATTTCGGTCAGATTTGACAGAGGAAACTATTTAGGAGTGTCAGAACATCATCAAATATATATGGTAAAGTTTCAGGTGTTCTTTCTAGGAGAAACAAAGCTGTGGGAACATAAATGTCTCCCCAGAATTAAATAATAAATAGGTACCCATATATACAACAATACCTCTTTCTACCCACCCTACAGCAAGCTGTGCATTAACCCACATCCTGACCAAGTGGTCAAATGCACTCCCTATGGAAATGAATAAAGTGCATTATTGCAGGGTATAAGGCATAGGGCTACAGCCAAGGGTGGTTAGATCTCGTGCTGGATGAGAACAGTCAATACGTATGATCAAAGAACAAACATAGAACTTTTCGGGTCTTCGTCACACACATGTGTGGGTGAAGGCAGGATGCGCGAATGTCCCCAGGAGGGGAGTATTTGATTCCTTTTGTCATGGACAAAAATCGGACAAGCGGAGCAATAAGCAGGGGTGTGAGGGCCTTCCACTGTTCATACAGAAGATTGGTGGCAGCATCAGGACCAGTGCGACATATTTTGGCAGAAATAGGGGTCCTTGGTGGCGAGGGGGGCGGTTGAGGGAGGTTGGCGGGTGCCTCCACGTCCATCCAGTCATCAGGCACTGGCGAGGAACCTTGTGCTTCTTCAGTCTCAGCGAGACCATCTCCCTCGCCTCCCCCCTCATCCTCTTCCATAACCGTAAGCTCCTCTGGAGGTAATGCCTGAAGCTGAGCCAATTTCGCTTTGAGGCGACATATCTTATCCTCTTGGCTGAGATACGTGACAAAAGTCGAGCTTTTCTGACTATCCTGCCTCTTGTGGGGACTGCGAAAAGCTTGTCCAAATCCCTTTGTGGCAGGCTGTCGGGCGCGTGCTTTGCTGAGCAACATCGAGATGAAGCGACGATGAGAGTCAGACAAGAAGATAAGGAAAAATCGTTTATTTCTAGCACATGGCACATTTATGAAGTGTAAGCGTAAAGAATGGCGAAGTCCCAAAGGACAGAGCGCGAGCGCTCAATGTGCTCGCT